CGCTCTGGTGCCAAGGCCCTGGGCAAAGCCAAGCGGAAAGTGACCATCCTAGTCCTCGTTGTGCTGGCTGTGTGCCTCCTCTGCTGGACACCCTTCCACCTGGCCTCTGTGGTGGCCCTAACCACAGACATGCCCCAGACATCCTTTGTCATTGGCATCTCTTACACCATCACCAGCCTCAGCTACGTCAACTCATGTCTCAATCCCTTCCTGTATGCCTTCCTGGATGACAGCTTCCGCAAGAATTTCCGCATCTTGTTTCTGTGCCGAGGGACCTGAGCACCGCCAGCCATTCCTCCCAGCTCAGGGGATGTCCTGCATGTTCATATCACATCCCTGTGTTCCCTACATGACACAGACCCTGCAAGTGTCACTTCCAGAAAGGACCGCCATAGTGTGATTCCATCCTTGTCTCTGCTTCATGGACAATGGATACCTGTAAGGATGCAGATCCTGGTAGCAGGTACAAGGAGTCTGGTCACCCAAAAAGGATGGACAAAAAGATTCCGCGCCCCCCTCCCACCAACAGTCCTTTCATGTCCTCTGTGGAACCCAGGAGCCCTGACAACAGGGCCCTAGAATGGGAAAGGACCCAGACTGCAAGACTGGCCTGGAGCCAGTGCTGTGTTCCACAATCAGGCCCTGCCGGGCTCCTTCAAAAAGGACAGGGAGGTAACAAAGTTGTGGGTACCTTGGAGAACAAAGTCAGGCATTGCTGATAAGGCTGAGAGCATGAGTATCAAGTGAAGTCACAAAATGTACCAGTGGCCTGAAATGCAGTAGGAGCTCACCAGAAGAGCCTTGCCCTTGCACCCCACCTCATCACCTGTGCCTGTTTCACATCCTGCTGTAGGACACAGGGCCCTTTTGCCAGGACCTCGCAGCCCCAATATGCTACAGACTGGCTGTCCCTAGGAGGAGCTGGCATCTGAAGCCCCCTTCCTCCTGCGTGGGCTTGGGGCCTGGACTTAGGCAGCAGGAGCCAGAACTGTGGGTTAGGGCAATGAGTGCAGGCTGCTCAGAGACCCCTGCTGGGCCTGGCTCCCAGCTGCTCTACATCTCTGGCCTCACCAAACAGGGAATCATCATGTGGGGTTCAGACCTGGGGCCTTGATATGAAGGCCAAGCATTGGTCACCACTAGGTGCCCAGGACATGTGCTGCTGACCCTACTCCAGGCTTCCTGGGCACATGCTAGCACCCTTCCCCCTGCCTCTTGCGTGCCTCTAGTCAACTCCAAACAATTCAGATGTCACCTCTGCCCAGCATCTTCCTTGGCCCAGCACTGTATTATATATTATCTAACAGGTTTCTCTAAAATTTAAGAGCTATAAAATAATAAATGTTTTAGATATGAGAGACAGGAGCCTGGAAGAGGGTTTGTCTCTGAGATTTCAGTCAGGAGACTGGCAAGGTGCATGTGGCTATGCAGGGGCTAAAGATCACCCCAAGCAGGCCGACTCCCAGGGCTGTTACTGCACAGGGGTGTTGTAAGGCTGCACAAGTGTCCTCTCAGTGTGCCCCAGAGCAGAAAGCAAAGACAGACCAGCCTCAAACCACCCTTGCACCCCATGCTGCTTCCCCCCAGCCACACTGAGGAAGCCATGGGTACTTTGAAATCACTATCCAGACCCACAGCTCTGCAGGAAAAACTGCCCAAGGCCTGTTCCTTCCTGCGGCACAGTCACACATCGCAAATAGCCTAATTATCAGTCCACACACTGTTCCTGTACCTGCCATCTCCTTCAGGTTGAGAGCCAGGGCTTGAAGTGGACACGTGTCAGAGCCAGGTGTGTGGCATAAGGGTGTGTGAGGAAGGGGGGTAGTGGGGAGGAAGAACAGGAGGCAAGGACGTACTGGGGACTATGCCAGGCGTGGAGACTAAGGTGCCCTTGGGCTGGGCTGGGTCTCCCACCATGCCCCTCTTTGTCTTTGGACCTCAGCAGGCCATCTCTACCACAGAGCAGGTACCCACCAGGTTTCCTCCAAAGACCCCAGGCCCTTGATTCCCTGGGAGCACCATAGGGGCCAACACTGGTATAACCAGTTTCAGAACAAGGGAGGAAAAAAGCAGAGCTTACTTCTCAGCAGGGTCCTGCACTGAGCTCCTGATATGGAGGAGGGGTTATCCTTTGAAGCTCACCCTGCCAAGTCCCCATGCTTTGGCTCCTGGCCCCTCTTCAGTATCCAGACTTCACTGCCGTAACAACCAGCGTCCCTTGAGGGACCTGGCAGAGCCTCATGTTGGGGCCACAGCGCCCCCTGGTGGGAGAAGTCCACAGCAGCCCTGAAACAGGCTTTCTTGAGGTACCGCTGGGCCTTGACCACCAAGCACCCCGTAACTCCTTGAAGAAGGCTCCAGAGTCTTCCACACAGGGAAGAAATTGGAGGCTTAGAGAATCCAGTCTTGACCAGCCCCAGCAACAGATAGGGGCAAAAATGCAGTTGGGGCGCCAGGGCAGCAGAAGGGACTAAAAAAGAGAAGGGCCCAAAAGGGAGCCTGTCCTGGAAGGCCAGGGAGGTGTAGCCTCTTCCAAGGCCTTATCTCGATGGGGAGGACTGTGGGCCCCAGACATATGCTCAAGATAGGAGGCCCTACAGCTCAGGACTGCACAGGGTGTCCTCCCCACCAAGACGACACCACCTTCCAAGCACGCAGGACTGTAACTGCCCTAGTGGAGCCTGTTCCTTCAAAATTTTCCCTTGATGGTAAACTTCTGTTTGAAAAGCAATATGTCGATTAAAGACTATTTGCCCCCACCCCCACCCCTGACCCATGAGGTGACATTGGGAAGCAAATCTTTGGGAGATGAGTAGATTGTGAGGTAGCAGCCCCATGGAAGAATCAGAATCAGTACCCTCATGAAAAGGAAACCCAAGGCTCTGGAGCCCCTTTTCACCACTGAGAACAGAGTGGAAAGACAGCTTGCACCAGAACTGACTGCACAGACTCCCCACACTGGAGCTTTCAGCCTCCACAACCATTCAAATCACCATTGCCATTCATAAACTGCCAGTCTAAAGTACCTTGTTGTGGCAGCCCACACTAGCAACCCATCATTAAAACTGGTATGAACACTAGCAGCCCTTCCCTGCCTGGAACCAGTCCTCTGACCCATGCCACACACTGCCACCCTCTCCAAAGTCCTTATGCTAGGGTCATCTGCCTGAGTCATCCTCAGCTGAACTGGGCCCATGTAGGAGCCAAGAGGCAGCTTCTTGTGACACCAGTTGGCCTGGCTACCAGGAAAGGCCACTCTCCAGTCAGATCTGTTTGAGGAAGGGGAAATGAACAGGGGTACGATCTGCAGAGGTGAAATGGGTAAAGGGAGCTCTGCCACACAGGAGGGGCTCCCACCCATTGACTGTGGCAGGGAGAAGTGGGACTCAGTTGTGTAGGGAGAAACTTTGCTAAGGAGAAAATGGTACCCCTGTAACACATCATAAGCTGTCTTCCTTCTCACTGTATCTGTACCTTGCAGGGCTATTCTGCCAAGGACAAAGCCAGCTTGAAAGATGCACAGAGCAGGTAGGAGAACAGTGGCCTGAGCTGTATAGCCACTCCCCCTCAACACGCCAACCCAAGAAATTAACAAGGCAGTCAGTCCTTACATGGCCAGGGCCAGGATTACCTTCTAAGGAAAGGGGCCGGTGAGTGAGCAAGTGTTTATTTTGGCCCTCCATTACCCCCAGAAACAGGTTTAGGGCTGGCTACATGCACGGGAATGACACACATCACATGCATAAATGTATAAAGAGGCATGTTATACCAGAGCAAAGTCACAAAGTTTTCAACTTTGGCAAGAAAACACTGCAGCCAGATGGCTTCTGCCACAGCCATCACAGAGAACATCCCACCCTCCTCAGGCATCAGCCCTGTGGCTAGGGCTCTGTCAATAGCCTGATCCAGGTCCACGTCCCTCAAGGTCCCCTGACCAAGATTGCAGTGGAAAAGCAGTTTTTCCAGTGTTAGAGGTACTTAAATAGTTCATCTGCAGGAAGAACATTTGCAAAGCTACATGATTTTCTAGGTGACCACAGCAGGGAGTCCCCAAGATACAGAAACTCCTCCAGTGGCCCCAAATCCCCAATAGCCCTTGCAGCTTGGCTCAAGCAAGCTCTGCCAAACTTCACCTCTCACACCAGTTGGGCACATAAAGCCAACCTCTGATTCGGGAACAAGCTCAGGCCTGACCCAGAGGCTGGTAAGTGAAGTACTGGGCCCAGTGGCTGGGCCCCCTTCCACCTGTATCACTGCCCCCAGTTCCAAGCAAATCAGGGATTTGAGAGAGCGGCCCTGGGGAGACCATGGAAATTCTGGAGAGAGCATGTACCCTGCCCTGTACAAGCAGTCGAGCTCAGGTATGTGGAGCTTCTGTTTTGTAAGCAGCAGAGCAACCCATAGTAGTCACCTGGTACCTTCCTTTTCAGCTTCTCAAGAATCAGAGCTCACTGCATGGCCTATGCATGATAGTTCTTCATACTTCTGGAGAGTACAGGCTCCAGGGGCCAAGCATCCTGTAGGCTCTAAGGGGAAGAAGTCGAGTCCAGGGCACAGCCAAGGCCAGTCAAAGCAGTCAGCAACTGAGTGGCAGGTCCACATCCATGGGCTGCACCAATGTAGGAGGAAAAGAACCTTCAGAAAGCCCTGGGCCCAGAACACACCTCAGGCCTCATTGGGGGCCTGTATGTAACCCTACTAAGGTAACCCAGCTATACAGGTAAAGGCAGAATAGGCAGGTGCTCTAGGGGGCAGCTCCAGGCTCAGGGACAGTGCTACCCCCAAAGAAATGCTTCACACTATGCTCCTGGACAATGCCAAGCCGGCATGGCTGCCCTAAGGAGACATGCAAAGCTGAGAGCAGCTGGTGCCCAGCCACGCAGACCACATGCAGCACAGACTGAACACAACTGCACAGCTGCTGTTACACCTTGGGCAGGAGTCATGAGAGTACAGAGCTCAGCTGCCTGAGATAGAAGACGCAGAAGTCAGGTGAAGCAGTGAATGCAGGCCCCAGGTAGGTGTGTCCGCTGAATCTACAAGACACTGTGAAGGGGTTTTCCAGGCCGTGTTCTTACATCCTCTCTGCCTCTGACCCAGGGTGGCGACTTTAGTCCTACAGAGGCAGCACTAACACTTTGACCTGTCCCATGGTGCACTAGGTCCTCCCGCGGGACTGTGTATCCCTGGGCCAAACGGAAACCATCCAAGGCTTCAGAAACTCAGGCTCAGGCGTCAGTCTAAAGAGCAGTGACTTGCGTGAGCTCCGTGTTTGGAGTAGATGGGCTCTGTGGGCTGACAGGCACCATGGGCAGGTCCACGCCTAGTCATGCAGGCCTTGGCACTGTCTCAGTGGTCTTATGGCCAAGCGCCACATCCTTAGCAATGCTGCGCACACGATCAGACACCTGCATCTCCCGGTGCAGGGCAGATGCACAGCAGAATTTTCGGAAGCAGGCCTTGAAGTTCTCATCCAAGAAGGCATAGAGGACGGGGTTGAGACAACTGTTGACATAGCCCAGGGCTGTGCAAAAGCGCAGAATGGCCACAGTTGTCTCATTGCCTGGCTGGACACCCAGACCCTGGACCAGGACAAAGACCTGCACAGGCGTCCAGCAGCCCACAAACACAGCCACCACCACCAGCACCAGTCGTGTGATGCGCCGCAGGTTCCGATCCTTCTCTCGGGAGCCTGAGAGCAGGCGGACACCACGGAGTCGCCGGATCATGAGGCTATAGCAGACAGAGATGATGAGGACAGGAATAATAAAGGAGAAGAGGAAGATGCAAACAGCAAACACGGGTCCCCAGTAGTCCTGGGGGGCTGGGATCTCCACCAGACACTCGATCTCTGCAGGGAGAGAAATGGATCAGGAGGGCCACTGGGAGCCATAGGAGCCCAGTGGAAGAAGCCCCACCCCACTGACCTTCATCTTCCACCTGTGCTGAGCCCATGATGGCAACAGGAACACCAACCACAGAGGCCAGGGCCCAAATGGCCACATTGACAGCCTGGGCTTTGCTGGATGTTCGGACGTCAAGAGCACGGATCGGGTGGCAGATGGCCACATAGCGGTCCACACTCATGGCAGTCAGCGTGAAGGTGCTCGTAAACATGTTGTAATAGTCTATAGCAATGACTGTCTTGCACAGGGCATTCCCAAATGGCCAGAAGCCTAGCAGGATATCTGTGCCCTGGAAGGGCAGTGTGAGCAGGACCAGGGTATCTGCCAGTGCCAGATTAAAGATGTAAATATTGGTAGCTGTCTTCATCTTGGTGTGCCTGCAGAAAAGACAGAGAGAACAGTTTCATTTGTCCACTCTGATGAACAAAGCAGTGAGAGGACACCAGCCCTGAGTCTTTGAACATCAGAGCCCCAGGGGAGCTTGTTCAATGGCAGAACCCTGGCCAGCCCTAGGTGCACGGAGCAAGTCATACAGGATGCAGCCTAGGGGCAAAAGTCTCAACAAGCTCATCAAGGGGTCTTCCCACATACAAGAGTTCCAACCCTTAAACACTGATCTGCTTTGGAAAAGCCAGGCCATGTGGGGTACAGACAAGCACTTGACTTCCAAAGGAGCAAATGAGTAGGGAGTACAAGAGAATGAACCTGTCCTCCCCCTCCTCAAGTTTCCCTCGAGGCTTCGCACAGCCTCACCTGTTGGCCTGGTGGCTGCCAAGGGTCTCTAACAGCTCCAAAGCCTATAAAGGCACAGACCTTCCTCTGCACACTGCTATCTAGGGACAATAGTAATCAGGGCTGACTGCATTCAAACTCCTGGAACAGGGCTAGAAAACTGCAAGTGGTTAAAAAAAAAAATGTGTTTGTGGTGGAAGTAGTCATAGTACCAGAGATAACAATTTTTTGTTTATTTTGTTTTTGAGACAGAATCTTGCTATGTAGGCCAAGCTGGGCTTGAACTCACAAGCCTGCTGCCTCCATCTCCTGCATGCTGGGATTATAGTTATATGAGAGATGACAATATTCCATATCAATTTAGTTTATTTTATCTTTTAGAGAGAGATTAAGAATAAACCCAAGGGCTGGCCAGACAGCTCAGTGGATTAAAGTGCCTGCTTAGGCAGACAAAGGGACCAGGGTTCAATCCCCAGTGTGCTGTGCCAGCCCTGCCCCCAGGGCTGACTGAGACTGGGCATGGTGGCACGCACTTGTAATCCCAGTGCTTGGAAGGCTGAAAATAAGAGGATCACTATGAGTCCAATCTGTGTAGTGAGACCCTGTAGACTATAGACCCTGTACTAAACACACACACAAAAGAATAAACATGAAAGTCTTAAAGGCAACTAAGTAATTATAATGATGATAATGGCAGAGAGTTATGCCATTTTCTTCACATGGATTTTATCTGGTTTGAGATTAATAAGTGCTATTTTGTCCCTCACACTATGAAGGAGGAAACTGGGGCTCAAAAGATCTAAGTATATTTTTTTCTTTTTCTTTTTTCTTTTTTTTTTTTTTTTTCAGTACCAGGGATTGAACTCAGGACCCTGCATTTGCCAGGCAACCACTTATTCTACTAAGCTATCTCCCCAGCCCCCTCTAAGTATCTTTTGATTCTTTTGTTTTGCTTTTTGCTTGGTTCTTTGAGACAGGGTCTTGCTATAAAGTTCAGGCTGGCCTTGAACTCACTTATGTAGTCCAGGCTTGTCTTGAACTCACTGCAATTCTTCTGCCTCAGCCTCCCAAGTATTGAGATTATCGACAGGTACTACCACACCCTGTCCAAGTAGTCTTAGAGTTGGTAAAAAGCAAAAGTGAGGCTCAGAACCAGATTCATCTGATTCCTAGAAGCCACCAAAGGCTACTGGCTCAGAATACACTGTGTGCTTCCTCCTGAGCCAGCGTGCCCACGGCAGTTCCTGAGCATCGCTCTCTGGGAACACTGGTGAGCAGGATGGCCTTTCCTGCTTCCACTGTCCAGGAAGTAACTCAAATAGTTTCAATGTTACAGAACAAAAGAGAGATACAGGAGAAAAGCTCCTGTCATAGGAGGGACAATCACTGCACATGGCTGGCCTGTGGCACATCTTCCAGCCATGAAGGGTGGGTCTGGGAAATCTCTCTAGGACCCTTCTTGGGAGGGCAGTGCTGGGTGACACAGCTGTTCTTCCCAGTGTCTTGTCTGACCATATATCACATACATACGATCCATATTCCTCACTTCCCAGATGGGGAAAACAAGGCCACTAGGGAATAGGGTTTGCTCAGGGACACTTGAGGATGGCAGTAGGGTACACCTCTGGGGGTTTGCAAGGCCATAAAGGGAAACCACGACAGTGGTGTCCTTAGCACTTGTTCAGGTTATCTCTTTCTGAGTGCAGAAAACATCCTGGATTAGGAAGAACCCACCCAGACTGTCTCATTTTCCTGCTGAAGTGCTTCCCGTGACTCCCCAATGTCTGGAGAAGTAAGTCTCCCCTGTCTGGCAGCAGACCTTGCCTGCTATCACTAATCTCCTTCAGTCCCCTCTCCCACCTGCAAGAACACTGAGTTTGTCATGTCCTTGGCCCAGGAATCTTTTTCCTTCTGCCCATGTCAGAGCTCCTTGCCCAACCCAGCATTGTACCCCATGCTGCCCCACATAGTCTACCACTGTGTACCCCACTGTGTCCCTCATGGCACACTCCACAACCTCCCCATGATTCTTTCTACAACTCCCTGTGCCCTGTCACCACCACCCCAACTGCCCAGCACCAGCTTTCCATCTGAGATCAGCTCCTGGGCTCAGCCACAGCTGACTGTCATGAGCAGGGGCACCACAGGGGCACCGCAGCCACAGAGAAGAGGCATTGAGTTCTTCCTAGCATCCATCCTTGGGCCTCCCTCTGCCCACCTGAGAAAAGAGGTCACAACAGCCATCTCTATGGGTCCCTGTGGGACCCCATGGGGCTAGTCACACCATCAGCTGGCATGGAGCCTGACTGTGTATAAATCAGGGCTCAGGATGGTGATGTCTCGGCCAGGACAGACAGGTAGAACAGATAACCCTCCAGGACCTCAGAGTTGGCTCTGTCCCCAGAAGAGGGAAGAAAGAAATTTAATGGAGGAAAGCAGGAAATTAGTCGAAGCTAACAACAGCCTCCCGCTTCAGTTTCCCCCTCCACAGCCATGTGGAACTGACCAGACAGGGACCTTTTGTGGGGTCCAGCCTACCTGAGGATGACGTACATGACGAGGCAGTTTCCCAGCAGCCCCCCGATGCACACGGCCAGGTAAAGCCCCACGATGGTGACCTTGAGCCCAAGAGGCAAGAAGGCACTGTGGCTGACATTGAGCAGCAGATGGGGGGGAAGCACGCTGTGGTTGGGGCTCAGAAGGGACAGGTTGCCTTGAAGGTGACTGCCATAGAGGACCTCCCAGAATGGGGCGGGGAAGAGAGACTCCATGCTATCAACCTGCAAAGTCACTCAAACAGAACCTGAGACAGGGCACAGAAACAAGTGACCAACATACTGAACCACACCTGCCAAGTGCTCAGAGCATAGTCCAGGGTGCAGCCCAGCAGGCACCAGGCACCCCCCATGTACACACACAGGCACCTGCAGATACACTCCCGAATTCAAGTAAGAACACAAGCACACAGGCACATATGCAGAGACACACACAGACAGGGGGCATGTGCTCACGCAGGACTCATGAAAACAAACATACATGCACCCAGCTGGACACCTCACATCACATCTGCAGACTCACACACAGACTGTGCAGACATGGTTACCCTAGAGTGTGTATCCACCCACAACGCTCAAGGACACACATTTCCCGGGTGCCCACAGAAGCAGGGATGCACACACACCAACACAAAAATGTCCAGAACACCCTCATGCACACTCAGGCACGAGAGAGCCTGAGAAAAGCCCAGAGCTGCCTGGGCGCAGGCAGCTGCCCCCCCACACCCTGCAGCCCCGCCACACCCGCAGCAGCTGAACCTCCCTACTTACCTCCTACAGTGTAGAACCTCACCTCCAAAATGTCATTGGGCAGTGGGGCCGAGGAGACCCTCACCCTCAGCAGGGAGGACAAGGGGCAGCTATGGAGTAGGTCCAGCCCAGTGCAGGACTGAGATGGAGCTGTGGTGGCAGCTCCTCAGCAAACGACAGACTAGACGCAGCAGCAGCAGCAGCAGCAGCAGCAAGTGCGGCAACCAGGAGCTGGGGGCAGGGAAGAGGCTCCAGCTCCAGAGAGGGAGGGGCTATGCAGGCTAGAGGAAGGGGCCTCAGGTGGGAAGATCACCCAACCTAGGCCACCTGGCCCCACGCAGGACAAGACACACACAAGACCAGGGCACATTAAAATATATTAAGCCCAAACACTTAAGACAAAGACACTATTGGCTGGGACCTATGACAGAGATGTCCATAGACCCATAAAGACAGATTTGGAGACACAGACAGAAACTCACACACACACACACACACACACACACACACACACACACACATCGCAGATTCAGACAAGGGGACTAGATTTAGGGAGACAAACATAGAGATGTGCTCACACAGAGGCAGATAGATGCAGGACCCCGATACACACAGACACAGCTCTGGAGAATCTGCCCCAGTCCAGCTGTCCTTGGAAATTTTGTCCACAACTGACCCCTCAGCCAGGCCCCCAGGGTAGCCCCAAGCCACAAGAGGTGGACAGATGATGGTACCCTGACCTAGTCAGCTCTCAGAGGGTCAGAGTCTTATAAACAAACAGGAGGATTAAAAAAAAAAAACAGAAGGATGCCTGGGCCCAGGACCCAGTACTGCTGCCATGCCTGCTTTGAGCCTACTATGAGCACAAAAGCTCAGAGATCTGAAGGAACCTATCAACAAGGGGGGAGAGCCACACCAATGCTGCCTCTATAAGGAGGGGGCCCCAGATTTAGGCCCTGGCACACACACACCAATGAAGGGCTCCTCAGATGGATATGCTACTTGCCAGCACAGGGGTTGTAAGTATAGTTCACTGAGATGAAAAATCACAAGTTAAAGCCATGTATGTGGGTGATCCTTGCATTGGTTTCCAGACCCCACGTAGTCGTGGTTTTCCTCTTGCAGAAGCTATGACAGAGAGCCAGACCTCCCCCAACCCCCCAGCCAGACCCTGCTCTTTCTCCAAGGATGGGAACCTGGTTGCTAGGCAACTGGCAACAGTGTTGCTAGGATACCTGTAGAACCAGGAAAGGCTGGAGCAGGCAGATGCCCCAGGACTCAGCATGCCAAGACGTCCCTTGGGACTTGTCTCTGCATCTCCACTGAAGCTAAGACTCAGAGGGGCACATGGACACCTCAGAAGACGTATTCCTTCAAATACACAGAGACACCCAGACAGGAAAAGGTTGAACTCAGAGACACAAGCCCATGTTCAGGGATACACATAGGGACCACACACACAAACCCACAACAAGGTTCATAGAGGCACATGGGTAGACATAAGAGTAGTTGTGGAGGATTCACTAATGGTCATCTTGGAACACACAGCTGAACTGAGTCAGTGTCATGCTGGGTGTTGAAGATCCACCTGAGGACTGTTGCCAACACCATAAAAGGAGAATTGGAAGAGAAGATGGTATGTTGTTGATTTTCCTGGAGAAGCTTGCCATGGCTGGTTTTTCTTGTACAAACCCGGCTCTTCTCATGGTCAGAGAAGCTCTGGTCCTCACTGTTGCTGGGAACGGCTGTTCTCCTCCAGGGAGCTCTGGTCTTTGCCTTATGTGTCCCTTCCCGGCTCCAGTGCGACTCCTCAGCCTTGTGGCACAGATCCTTCACCTTGGCACAGACGTTAGCTTCCATCACTGGCTTTCAGTCCTTCTGGGTGCAGATCCTTGATATGAACTTGCATAGGACATTGTCATGAATTCTAGGTCTTTAGATGGTCTTGCGCAGGATATCATCATGTGATCCAGGACCTCAGCTGGATTCTTCAGGTCTCCAGCACACAGACAGATCTCTTGCATTCTTCTGCCTTTGGCTTTTTGGGTGAATATTATTTTTTTATTTATTTTTTAGGCTACCTTTCTTTTTTATTTATTTATTTGTGTGTGTGTGTGTGTGTGTGTGTGTGTGGCCAGCTCAGCCCACCAGGGGGCGGGGCTGGCTGGCATGTGGTGCTGGGGGATTGAACCATGGATGAATATTATTGAGTCCTATCAATTTTGTATCCTATATTAAATCTATTCCTTGCAAACCCTAATTACAACAGCAGGGATGCCTGTGAGAATAGGGAGACACAGGCCCAGGCTCTCAGATACCAGGGACACGTACACACACACTCCAAACAAGCTTGACCGATTACTGCAAGAGCCTGGGGAGACAGAAACGGATGCCTGCAGCTCCCTCCCTTGGTTACCCTGGTTCCCCTGGCCCAGCTACCCTTCTCTACCTGCTCACTTTACAGCTTCATTCCCTGGCAGCCTTCAGCTGCCTCCAAGCCCAGGTGCCAAAGTGGGGGAACAGATGCTGTGAGGGTAAGCAGAGCCACAGAGGGAGCTAATGTGTTCCTCTCATATGGCCTGGAGCCTGCTCCTTTCCTGTCTGTGCCTGTCCTGCCCCATCTGCACAGGTCCCAGCCCCTAGCCAGTTCTAGTCAGCCACATGGCTTTCAGGTGGGCCTATGAGCTCAGGCTGGACAGATATCCCTAAGAGTGGGGCAGCAAGCCTGGCACAGAGACCACACAGAAGCAGCTTCTCAACTTCTCAGCTACAATCTCAGAGGGAAAGATGGCCCACCTGGTTCCCCTGCAGGTGAGTGGACAGGATGGGATATGAACTTGCATCCCACAAAAGGAGACTGGTGATAAGAGGAAATGGCACAGGCTTCTCTTGATCCTTGACTGGAACTCAGCAAGGACAGCTAGCCCCTCCAGAAGGGCAGAGGCAGAGCCAGGGCTACAGGAGTCAGCAGAAGACTACATCGCCGATGCACACATCATAGACAGGCAAAACAAAACGTGGGATCACCAGCAACAGCCCAAGACCCAGACCTTACACAAATGACAGCACAAAGAGCACATCCACAGACTGCCGTTGGTGATCACAGGGCTGCAGTGGATGGCACGGCAAGTGTGCAGACCTGGGTCCCAGGAGGAGAGTCACATGCACAAACAGGGCAAATACCTCTCTCAGTGACAGCTTCTGACCTGCTGACTGGAGTCCTCGTCCTCACTGCCTGGGTCAAGACGCTGTTTTGCCCATTGCCCTCCCCACATACCTCATCAGCCCCGCACTTAACACCAGAGAACAGGGGCAGAGAGATGGCTCAGTAGAATAAGCACTTCCCTTGCAAGCGCAAGGGCCTGAGTTCAATCCCTGGTTCTGCAAAAAAAAAAAAAAAACAAACACCACACACACACACCACCAGATAACAGGGGCCCAAGCAAAGGACGTGGCAGTTCCACATGGCACAAACACCACCTGGGACTTCACTCACCAAGCACAATCAGTTAGAGAGAGAGACAGAGAGAGAGACAGAGAGTGAGAGAGAATTTTAACAGCTCTGAGTTTCATCAAAATAAGCCACTATACTTTATAAAATTTATATACAGGAGTGAGGGTGTAGCTCAGAGGTAGAGCATTTGCCTAGCATCTATGAGGGACTGGGCACAAACCCTAGCACTGCAAAAACAAACACAAGTTATATACAACAAAAAAGAAAATTGAGTTGAAGATTTCAATATAATGTTAAATTTTGTAGTTATTTAATACAACTAACTCATTGGGCCATCCATATAGCTCACAAACTAAAGTGCCTGCTTAGGCAGAGCACAGCTGTCGGGGTTCAATCCTGGGGTGCCTTGCCAGCCCCAACCCTGGGGCATGCTGAGATGGGTGATTGAGACTGGGTGTGGTGGTGCATGCCTATAATCCCAGTGCTTGGAAGGCTGGAAACAGGAGGATCACTACAAGTCCAATCTAGGTAGTGAGAACACCCTGCACACCCTGTACCAAATACACACACAAAAAAGTACAGCACATTAATTTAATTTTGAGGTTTTATTTTTAGGACATGGTGCAAATAAGCATGAATTTAGATTTCCATTGGCCTTCGAAGAACACAGCAGCTCTGGGCACGACACAATGGCTAGGCCTCACATGCAAACCCACAGACCTCTGTCCCACCCAGAATGCACTAGGCCTCTAAGAGTTCTGGCTGAGGGGCCAGGGAGATGGCTCAGTAGAATAAGAGCTTGCCTGGCAAGCACAAGGGCCTGAGTTCAATCCCTGGTTCTGCCCCCCCAAAAAAAAGAGTTCTGGCTGGTAATTGGGGGAGGAATTATCGATGTTTTTCAATGGTGCAAAAACAGAGGAAGAACACCATAAACATATGGAAATTAAATAACACTCTCCTGAACAACCAATGGGTCACTAATGAAATTAAAGAAGAAATTAATTTCTACAATTAAATGATAAAAATAACACAATATACCAGAACTTATGGGACACAGTGAAA